AATGCTAAAGAAGGAAAAAATCGCAATAGACCGATCAACATCGATGTCTTAAAAACCATATGAAAGATTACCGATATTAAAAAATCATAAACCATCTTTCTTGATACACTCTTCTAGCATCAATGCAAAAATATTCTAGCATAATGTTTATCAAGTTTATGGATGAACAAACAAAAAAAATACTTATTTTTATGTTCTACATATGCTTAAAAAATGTTATCTTATTTCATCAATGATTCATATATCACTTTATCCACACAAAAAAGGATTTATATGCCTGCATAATTCCAATTTTAGTGTGAATGTCTCCAATTAAAAGACGAAGTAATATACTTACATCAACAAAAACTCATATCATATATGTCTTCTTGAATGACACCTCAAATCAACAAAAATGCAAATCATCTCCACAAAAACTGAATAGAGGAATAATTGAGAGATTAAGAGAGATTGTTATGTTTAAACAATGTTACCTTATTTCATCAAGAATTCATATGCTATTTTATCCACACAAAAAATATTCATATGCCTATATAATTTCAGCTTTAGTGTGAATGTCTCTGATTAAAAGACGAAATACTATACTTACATAAGCAAAAATTCATACCATGATGTGTCTTATTGAATGACGCCTCAAATCAACAAAAATACAAATCGCCTCCACAAAATTATAATTGAATAGAGAGGAAGAATTGAGAGATTAATAGATAGATTATCATAGAGGTATACCATGAAGAGAAGATGAAAAATTATAACTGAAAAAAGAGAAATAATGAGAATTAAAAGATCAGTTATTAGAGAGAACATGAGTAGGTTGAAGTAATTAGTGAATATCAAAAATAAAAAATAAATATTGAGGTGAGAAAAGCTTGAGAAAAGGAGAAAAATGATAAAACATTTTCTAGCTTTGAGAAGAGACCACGTCATTGCACGTGCTTTCTTCTTTAATATATATATATATATGTCTCCGATTAAAAGACGAAATACTATAGTTACATAAGCAAAAACTCATACCATGATTTGTCTTATTGAATGACGACTCAAATCAACAAAAATACAAATCGCTTCCACAAAATTATAACTGAATAGAGAGAAAGAATTGAGAGATTAATAGATAGATTATCATAGAAGTATATCATGAAAAGAAGATGAAAAATTATAACTGAAAAGAGAGAAATAATGATAGTTAAAGATCAATTATTAGAGGGAACATAAGTAGGTGAGAAAAGCTTGAGAAAATGAGAGAAAAGATAAAACATTTTCTAGCTTTGAGAAAATACCACGTCATTGCATGTGATTATAACCGAAAAGAGAGAAATAATGAGAGTTAAAGATCAATTATTAAAGGGAACATGAGTAGGTGAGAAAAGCTTGAGAAAATGAGAGAAATGATAAAGCATTTTCTAGCTTTGAGAAGAGGCCACGTCATTGCACATGGTTTCTTCTTTAATATATATATAGATTTCAATTAATTTATGTTTTTATTATCCTTGTTTTGTAATTGGCACTTTAATATTTTTGTTTTTTAGCGTTGACCCGACGCGTCAAGAGTACTTGTCTGTTTTCCTTCAAATGGTTCAATCCATTTCTAACCCATTTCAGATTGAGCACGAATCTAATCATTTAGATCTTCAAACCCCAAGAAATGGCTATGCTTGTAGATCCTCTTCTTTCTGAATCCATTTCTAAACTATTGGAGATCGTTATATCTGTAGCAAAAACCACAGCGAATTTCAAACCCCAACTGGAACAACTCAAAATCACCTTAGAGAGAATTGGACCCATTATTTATGAGATTAGGGAGCTCGATCGGAAACTAGATCGTTCTAAGGAAGAGTCCGAGATGTTCGTATATGAAATCCAAGACGCCAGAAAGCTTGTCCGCAAATGCTTGAAGATCAAGAGGAATTTAATCAAGAGGTTCACTCACTCACTGAAGCTTAAAGATCTGGACCAAAAGCTGTTAAGATTCTTTCAGATTGAAGTTCAGGCGTCTCAGAGTCGAGACATTAAGCAGACGCTGGTAGAAGTGAATCGTGTAAGTGACAGAATGGAAACATTAGCTACGGACGTGAGAAATTTGGGGCAGACACTGAGTAAGAATAGTTCTATGTCGATGTCTTTTAGCAGAGAACATGAAACCACATTAGAACGAGAAAAATTGGGTTGGCGAGTTCCCACACTTCCTAGAGGCATCGTGGCATTTGAGAAGCCACTAGAGAATCTCAAGGCTATGGTTCTTGCTGATAAAATGGATTGCGATGATGGTTCGGTGATGGTTGTTTCTGCTCCCGGTGGATGTGGGAAGACTACTTTGGTCACCATGCTCTGCTATGATGCTGAAATTCAAGGTAACCCATCACATTCATCAATCAATTAATAGCTTCTTTTAACATAATATTACTTCTCTTGGCCAAAGAGTTTGACGGTTTGCTCAATTTTGGAAGAATTTGCTCAAATTAGTTGATAAACTTAACTTCAACTTTGTTTATTGGGCTCATTATCATACCATCTTCAACTGGCAGGAAATTGTTTTCTGTTGGTCCTTTTCCCACATTTTCAGAAAACATTTGAGATTTCAGAACTATATTACATTGCAAATTAAAGCTTCTGACCCATGAAGTTGCCACCTCAATATATCTACACATTTATGGGCATAACCACTATGCTGCTAACACTAATTTGGAGAACCTAGATGTCTTAAGACCCTGCCTCTGGTCAACTTGACCTAATAGAATCACAGTGTGGTCCCGTGGCTGTTTATCCAGACTACCTGTCTAATGGTTGTCCAGTTTGATTGAGTCTGTTTACTCTATTAGGATCATACTTTGTAAATCGTCCTTCTCATTGTCACTCTTTTTTAGGCAAAAAAAAGAACTCTTTGTTTAGCTGATGACCGAAACCAATTTTGTAAATTCCTACTTCAATTAACATATTAGTTTCATCATGTTTGTTCAATGGTATTCTCTTTGTCCCATAATTATAGTCCACTTTCCAAATTTATATAGTTTCGAATATATTTGGTCATTTGAACACTAAATGACACCAACTTTTAGGATCTTAATGTATATGGAGTATTAATTAGTCTTGCTAGCTTGATACTGACGTTACTTACTCTTGATCAGCCAAATTTGGGGAGAGGATCTTCTTTGTGACAGTTTCAGAAACACCCAACTTCTTGGTATTTGTCAATGATCTCTTAAATCCAAATTCTTTCGCTCAGCAAGCTCAGTCTCAAATTGGTACCGCGAATGCAAAGCAAAACAGTATCGAAGATACAAAGAATAAGTTGGAGAACTTTTTGCGTGAGAAGGTTTCAGGTCCTCTACTTCTAGTACTAGATGATGTCTGGTCTGATTCATTTATTGAAAACTTTGCATTCAATATCACTGGATACACAATTCTGGTTACATCTAGGATGGTCTTTCCGAAACATGATATGTTTCAATTTGACCCTTTGAGCGATGAAGATGCCAAGATTCTCTTTCACCGCTCAGCATTTCCTGAAGGGAGGAGACCTAGGCCTACTATTCACAAGGATCTTGTGAATCAGGTATAGTATGTTTATTTTTCAAATAAATATAATGCTTCTTTTACTACTTTGGGATAAAGGCTTTGGGGATGTTCAGTAATGGCTTATTCGGTCAGCCAAAAACAGTCATGGATTCAGCCATTTGTCCTACCCTTTATTCCATATATACCCTCCTCACTTTTCAAGTCTTGTCCATATTTACTCAACCTTTTGTGTGTTTGTCACTTCATGTATATGTATGTATATACATACATACATGTGAGTATATTATATTAATAAATATAATATATAAATTATATTCTAAAAGAAAATAATATAACCTTCTATTTAAAAATGGCTAATGCATGAAATAACAACCTACTTTCATGAATTATCTTATTATAGCATTGTAAGAGGTTACCCATTGCTATAATGGGTAGATTTTACAATGCTATAATAAGGAGATTTATGAAAGTAGGGTTGTTGTTTCATGCATTTAACCCTTTAAGAAACCCTTAAATCTTTCAAAATCAACCATTGAACTTATATATCAAACTGTAATTTTAATCAGTGTTAATATAGACTAAGGGGTAAAATAGTAATTCAAACTATTTCTTTAGCACAACAACGGAGCAACAATTTGGCCGAATCCATACAGTCAACTAAATTCATATAGATAGCTTCACGCATAACGTGCTTAATGAAAAACCAACCGAACAACCCCTTAGTTGAGTTTTGTTTTTAAAGGGTGACCATAGTACAACCATGATCCTCGACTTTGCTTAAGATGGGGAGGTAGTCTTTCTACACTGGTTTTCCCATGAATTCAGCAAGCAGACTGTGTTTTGGCTTTTTACTCAACATATTCCAATCACAAAGGAATAATTTTACAATTGGTTGCTCCATGGTTCAACCCTAATTGTACACTTATGATATAACCCTTAATTGTGATGATTTTTTTTTCTTCATAATTCGTGTAACAAATGGTCAATTCTTCTTATTTAAAGACTAATATCTTTCTAAACCTTCTATGTAGATGGTAAAATGTTGTAAGAAACACCCACTCACCCTTTCGGTGGTCGGCAGTTCCTTGGATGGGAAAGATGAGACAGCTTGGAGATATATGCTAAAACTATTGTCTCAAGGTCAATCGGTTCTGGATCTAAATGTAGATATACTTAACCGTCTAGAAAGAAGTTTTCAGGCCTTGGATGACAGATTTAAGGAATGTTTCTTGGACTTTGGGTTGTTCCCAGAAGATCAAAGGATTCCGGCTACTGCTCTCTTGAATATGTGGGTGCATTTGTACGAACATGAAGATGACGGCAGTGATACCCTGGCCAAGATATTTGAACTTTCTTACAGAAATCTTGTCAATCTTATGAACATAGGGTATTTGGACTTTCTCTATTACTTTGAATATAAGATTACACACTACATCAAAATTGGGTTTATAGGATGCCAAAATGTCTTAAGAGGGTATTTGGCTGGGGGTATTAGGGGGTAAGGAATGGAATGGAAATGGATATGCAAGTGCTGTTTGGTTCAATATAATGCAATAAATGATTACTTAAAAGTAGGTAATAATCCATACCCTAGTAAATTGGGGGGAGTGAGTTTTCATTCCCCAACATTATCATTCCTTATTGAACCCATTCCCATTTCCATTCTTTCCAAATGAACCAAACGCCCCCTCAGTATTCTAATAGGATATTTTATAGGACTTCAGTTTATAGGATTAAACAATTGTCTGTCTTATGTAAAAGTGTTACAATAAGTTTATACCAACTTTACAAGTTTTTAGGATATTTTTGAAATATAACGTTCCCTTAATTTTATTATGACATGATTTAGAAAGGTATCTTATAAAAATAAGTGTCCTATGAATAGATATGTTCATAGAATACTTCTCCAAAGTGTCCTATAAAAAATTATACGACCCTTTATTTTTAGAAGTGTTCTAAAAAACATGTGAAAACGTCCAATAAACTTGTTGAAACACTCTTACATAGGACACATAATTGTTCGGTCTTATAAACGGAAGTCCTACAAAGCAGTCTATTAAGACACTAGACATTTTTGGCGTCCTATAAACTTAATTTTGTTGCAGTGACACTTTCACTTTTGAGGTGACTTGAACTACTTCTCACCCTTAAAATTAATTTGTAGTTTGAGAAACTATTGATAATAACATTAAGAAGCCTTACTAGATTCGAACTAAAAACTAATGTGCAACTTTTCCCGAATAGGAGGGATTTCAGTTTCATTGTATATTTTCAGATATGTAATTGTCACAACTGTTGTAACTGTTGTAGATCTAATCTCCAAATTGTTTAATAGTCTTAGGAAAGATCCAGGCACAGTTAACTTTTGCGAGCAGCAATTTGTCACACAACACGATTTGCTGAGGCAGCTTGCTATTAACTTGAGTAGCAAAGTAGCCTTAGCACAGAGGACAAGATTGATTATAAGTGCACATGGAGAAGACCTGCCCACATCAATTTCAAAAGTGAAAGAACCTATGCAAGCGCGCATATTGTCGATCTCAACAGGTTTTTTTTCCCTCCCATAAATTTTAAATGGAACCTACTACTCCATTTGTTTCAAAGCTGAAGAACTGCATTTTGACTTTTGAATGGTTTGCTATGATTTTTGACTTGTGATAACAAATACAATGGGTATTTTATATTTTGTTAACAGAACAATATTAATAAAGTAAAAAACTTTTTCATTTGGAGCAATGGGTTATTAATGAATTTATTGTTATAATATGTTTCTTATTAATTGATTAAAATGTGGAATGCAGGAGAGTCGTTTGCCTCGAGATGGTGCAACATGGAAGTGCCTGAGGTTGAAGTTTTAGTGTTGAACCTGATGTCAAAGACCTACACTTTACCCTACTTCTTCGAGAAAATGCAAAAATTAAAGGTTCTAAACGTCACAAACTATGGTTTATACCCAACGGAGTTTGAGAATTTTCATCTTCTTGGTTGTTTATCCAATCTAACAAGGATTAGGCTTGAACGTGTTACAATATCTTCCTTGAGTGGACCCACTTTAGCTCTGGTAAACTTGCAGAAAATATCTTTCATAATGTGCAAAATAGGCAATGCTTTTGAGAAACTCAGCAGTGAACACCCCAACATCTGGCCAAGACTAGTTGAAATCGAGATGGATTATTGCCAAGATTTATTGGAATTCCCAGCGATATTGTGCAGCAGCGTCCACCTTAAGAATGTAAGCATCACCAACTGCAATGAGATGTGTGGAATTTCTGAAGAATTTGGTAAGTTGACTAGTTTGGAAACACTGAGTCTTTGTTCTTGTACAAAACTAGAAAAGTTGCCTGAATCAGTCACAAGACTTGAAAAGCTAAGTATTGTTGACATTTCTGATTGCTTAAGCTTGAGCGAGTTGCCAAAAGAGATAGGAAAGTTAAGTGGTCTACGAACGATTAACATGAAGGGTTGTACAGGAGTACATGAGATACCGACATCTGTAAAGGAGCTATCTAACACACAAGTTATCTGCAACGAAGAAATATCGTACCAATGGCAGGATTTCAGTAATGTGGAGGTAATTGTGGTGGAAGAAGATAGATTAGAATCCCTTATGAGAATCATTTGAAATGCAAATATATCCTTGTATTATGTTCTTTATTGGACATGATGTTATGACACAACATCATATTGTTTGTATAAATGTCACTTGATGAGTTTGTGAAAAACAGAACCATGGACATCGCAACTCGAGATTTCTTTAGTGTCATGATAACATCTCTTCTGTTGTTTTAGTGTTGAAAGAGTTGGACAACCTTTGAACAGTAAAACAACAAAAGACTTTTTCTAATAATATAAAAATAAGAAACCCAATAATTATGATGATGGAGTACAAAAGACTTTTCCCTTGTATTTTGCACAAAATTATTTGAATTCATGACTTTCGAATCAAAAAGTGTCACCTTACCAAATAATTTGTCTGGTTTCTGGTCACAATAAAGTTTTCCAAGATCTAGCTTGTAGAGGTGTAGTTTCAGATATCGATAATAATCAAGTGATTTTGTTGTCCCAAGGCTGCAGCCCATGCCATGCAGGATGCCGAAGCGTCTTCACTGGAATGCCATGCAACACGACCCCATATCGTCGAGGTCTTCTAGGATTTGATGACTTGTACCATTTGCAAGGTCGGTTGTACATCCTTTAAAACGAAATCTCAATATAGCTATAATATACGAAAAGAATAACGGTAATTCCAAATATGCTGGTGAAACAAAAAGAACACAGTTTCTTACAAATTTCAACTATATTTCTATTATAGTTTGTCCTAAAATAAGTATTCACTATATGTCTATTTTCTAATTCTATCTTTAATTATGAGATGGAGAAAAACTATCTCCTAATATTAAGGGTAAAACTGTCTTTTACTCGCTGAAAAAGGTGTAGACATTCTTGTACAATTTTCATTGTGGACATATATTTTGGGACGGAGATCGTAGTTCTTTAACATATATTCTTTTCGTATTTACTCAAAATATTACAACTCTATTTATACTCGTTTTCACCATGACAAATCCTACAAATTCATGGTAAATAAATTGAAAAACAGAATGTGTAACGGCAACATCAAAACAGGAGCTTTGGGTACAAAAACTGTCATATAACTTATTGAAAACTAGACATAAAAGATCTTTAACTTCATAGGTCATACCAACATAACATTTACCCCTCCAGTCAAAGTCAACCTGAATGTGTTTGGGTTTAGACTTCTAACAGTTGGTTGACAGATGTTTGTAGATCAGCTAGGTTGTAAACTTATTGTAAGAGCAGCAATTTGTCACACAACACAGGTTGCTATTGAAGAGATGTTATCATGACACTAAAGAAATCTCGAGTTGCGATATCCATGGTTCTGTTTTTCACAAACTCAGCAAGTGACATTTATACAAACAACATACATCAAGTCCAATAAAGAACATAATACAAGGATAGATTTGCATTACAAGTGTGGATTTCAAATGATTCTCATAAGGGATTCTAATCTATCTTCTTCCACCACAATTACCTCCACATTACAGAAATCCTGCCATTGGTACGATATTTCTTCGTTGCAGATAACTTGTGTGTTAGATAGCTCCTTTGCAGATGTTGGTATCTCATGTACTCCTGTACAACCCTTCATGTTAATCTTACGTAGACCACCTAACTTTCCTATCTCTTCTGGCAACTCGGTCAAGCTTAAACAATCAGAAATGTCAACGATGCTTAGCTTTTCAAGTCTTGTGACTGATTCAGGCAACTTTTCCAGTTTTGTACAAGAACAAAGACTCAGTGTTTCCAAACTAGTCAAATTACCAATTTCTTCAGGAAGTTCACACATCTCATTGCAGTTGGTGATGCTCATCCTCTTAAGGTGGACACTGCTGCACAATATCGATGGGAACCCCACTAAATCTTGGCAATAATCCATCTCAATTTCAACTAGTCCTGGCCAGGTGTTGGAGCTGAGTTCCTCAAAAGCATTGCCTATTTTGCACATTATGAATGATACTTTCTGCAAGTTTATCAGACCTAATGTGGATCCACTCAAGGAAGATATTGCAACGCGTTCAAGTCTAATCCTCATTAGATTGGATAAACAGCCAAGAAGATGGAAATTCTTGAATTCCGTTGGGTATAAACCATAGTTTGTGACATTTAGAATCTTTAACTTTTGCATTTCCTTCAAGAAATGGGGTAAGGCATACATCTTCGACATCAAGTTCAATACAAGAACTTCAACCTCAGGGACTTTGATGTTGCACCATCTTGAGGCGAATGACTCTCCTGCAATCAACATTTTAATTGGATACCGATAATACCAATAAATTCATTATCTCAAACAAACAAGATTTTTACTTGTGAAGTCGTAACGATGATTCTTTGTAGTCAAGATTAATATTTGTTTTTCAAATGCAAAACCAGCATTTTTTCTGTACGTTATATTTGTTATCACAGGTAAAAGAATCAACCTGTCGAAATTGACAATATGCGGGCTTCCATAGGTTCTTGCATTTGCGAAATTGAATCAGGCAGGTCCTCTCCTTGTGCATTTATAATCAATCTTATCCGGTGTGCTATGGGTAGCTTGCCACTCAAGTTAATAGCAAGCTGCCTAAGCAAATCGTGTTGTGTGACATATTGCTGCTCACAGTAGTTAACTATTGAGCCTGGATCTTTCCTAAGACTATAAACAATTTAAGGATTAGGCCTACAACAATTGCACATTCAGTGTAGAAAAAGAACTCGAAATCCATCCTATTTAAGAAAAGTTGTACACTAGCTTTTAGTTCAAATCTAATAAGCCTTAATGTCGTTTTTAGTAGTTCCTCAAACTTCGAAGACTCCACGTTAAATTTAAGGGTGAGAAGATGTTCATGTCACCTCAAAAGTGGAAGTGTCACTACAACAAAATCGGGTTTATAAGACACCAAAAATGTTTAGGTACCTAATAGACTGCCTCGTAAGACTTGAGATTATAGGATCACACAATCGTGCGTGCTACATAAAAGTGTTAAAATAAGTTTATAGGACGCTTTTGGAAGTTTTAACAAGTTTTTTAGGACACTTTTGAACTAAAACTTCATCTGTTTTGGATGACATCATTTGAAAAGATGTCTTATAAAAACAATTGTCCTATAAAAAGATGTGTTCATAGGGCAATTCTCCAAAGTGTCCTATAAAAAAACTAATATGACATTTTACTTTAAAAGTGTCCTAACGAAACTTGTAATGATGTTCAAACGCGTCCTATAAACTTATAATAACATTTTTACATAGGACTTACAATTGTCCGGTCCTATAAACGTAAGACCTATAAGGTAGTCTATTAGAACACATAGCATCCTATAAACCAAAGTAATAGAGAAAGTTCAAATACCCTGTTCTCATAAGAGTGACAAGATTTCTGTAGGAAAGTTCAAATATCTTGGCGAGGGTATCATTGCCTTTATCATCATGGTTGTACAAATGCACCCATATATTCAAGAGAACACTAGCCGGGATCCTTTGATCTTCTACGAATAGCCCAAAGTCCAAAAAGCATTCCTTGAATTTGTTATCCAAGGCATCAAAGCTTGTTTCTAAACGCTTAAGTATTTCCTCATTTAGATCCAGAACCGAATGACCTCGAGACAATTCTTTTAGCATTTGTCTCCAGATTGACTCATCTTTCCCATTTAATGAACCACCGACCACAAAAAGGGTGAGGGGGTGTTTCTTACAACATGTTACCATCTGTACAGAAGAGTTAGAGACATATTAGTCCTAAAACCACGAGACAGACAAAGCAAAAGAGCTAGAAAAGAAGCATTACTTCTTTAGCCAGTGAAAGTATTTTGTTGTGTTCGTTATTCATGTCGACTTTAATGATACTTTAATGTCATACACACACATACACATATGTGTGTCTGTAAATGACCAGAAGGTCAATTGTTTTGAGTCATGAGAACTCCGAAACAGCCTTCTTGCACAATACTAGGAAGCTTCATATAGAGGCTTAACTCCCCATATTACTTGCAAGTACAGAACAGAACTAACCCATTATCCGGAAGTATTTGAAAGAAGTCTTGTATATATATATATATGAAGGATTGAACATATGGTTACCTGATCCACAAGATGCTCATCAATACTAGGAGTAGGTTTCCTCTTGTATTCAGTAAATGCCGAGTGGCAAAAGAGAGTCTTGGCATCTTCATCGCTCAAAGGGTCAAATTTGAACACATGATATTTTGTAATGACCATCCTAGAAGTGACCACAATTTTGTATCTCCCAATGTCGAACACAAAGTTGTTGATAAATGACTCCGACCACACATCATCTAACACTACAAGTATGGGACTTGGTACTCTCTCGCCCAAAAAGTTCTCCAACTTATTCTTTGCATCTTCACTGCTTTGAAACCCAACTTGCTGACCCAAGGAATTTGGATTTAGGAGATCATTGACAATTACCATGAAGTTGGGTGTTGCAGAAACTGTCACAAAGAAGAGGTTCTCTCCAAATTTCTCTGTGCAAAGATAAGAAACATTAGCACCAAACAAACAAGATAAACTATGTGAAAAGGATGAAAAGGAAGCACAACTGTCTCTAGATGACCAAACCAGTGTTTGCAGCATATATATATGAAGAAAATTTGAGTTTGCAAGTTCATGGTTGGAAGCTTTTGCAATGTTACAGAAATTTTCAAGTCTCAAAAGGGGAAAAGAAGGAACAGAAAACTATCTGCTGCCAGTTGAAGGCTGGTGATTAAAATACCATAATGTTCATTGACCGGAAGCATTTATTAAAGCTGATAATACAAGTTATTGCAGTCAGACTTTACTGGGTTTCAGTTTATATGATTGATAAATGTACCTTGAATTTGAGGATCATTGCATAGCATCTTGGCCAAAGTAGTCTTCCCACACCCACCAGCAGCAGAAACAACCACCACCGAATCATCATCATTATCAGCAATAACCTTAGCCTTGAGCCTTGCTAGTGGCTCATCGAACCCCACTATGTCTTTAGGAAGTTTGGGAACCCTCCAACCCAACTTTTTTCGTTCAATCACTTGTTCCCTTCTCGACAGAGAACATTTCTGTCGCAAATCTTCCAAATTCGAAACCAAACTGTCCATTCTTAGCTTTACAGCTTTCACTTCTAGTAGAGTCTCCTTACCGTCCCTGCATTGATCCGCCTGAGCTTCAAGTTGAAACACTCTTAACAACTTGTTATTGACATCTTTTAGCTTCAGCGAGTGAGTGAACTTCTTAAAATAATTCCACTTGATTTTCAAGCATTTATTGACAAGATCTTCTGCCTTTTTGATTATAGATGTGAACATCGTGGAATCTTGCTCTGGACGATCTAATTCCCGATTCAGCTTCGTTATCTCATCAACCTTAGATGTTATTCTCTGTAAGGTGATACTGAGTTGCTCCAGTTGGGGTTTGAAATCGGCTGTTGTTGTTGCTACAAATATTACGGCATCAGAGAGTTTAGAAATCGGTTCGGAAAGGAAATCCGCCATTTCCTGTGATTAAAGCTGAACTGCCAAACTCTTGTGTACAGATTCTGCAACGATGAAATATGTTTTGCAGAAAACTATCAGAGATTGAGTGGGTCGGTTGGATTCGAAACTCTTGGAGGAAATACAGAAATTGGGTTGTCGACACAAGGTTGACTTCGTAAAATTCAGGTCACAGGAACGCGTCTGTTAAAAAAGGCGCGGTGTGCGATCTGACTTTTTTTTTTTAATAATATTTTTGAAGTTATATGTTTTCTACTTTACATTTTACATTTTCCTAAATTTATTTAATCATTAAACATAAAGTAACTTATTTTTTTAAGTAATCATTTAAATATACATTAAGTCAGAGGTTCTTCGGTTCGTTTTTTATTAAAACCTGTATGGATATAGTTGTCTTTATTGATATAGTTGTTTGTATATTAACAAATAAATTGTTGTTCGATTGTTGTGATAAACAGTGAATGTCAAAAATGATTATTTTACCCCTAGTCTTTATTTTTGTCTGAGTAAAACACACTTTGATAAAAATGTTGAACAAATGACTTTTTAATTGTAATTTTTTGCGTTACATCAGGTACCCATAACAAGAACAACTCTAGATCAAATGAAGCTAAAATGTTGAATCAAATAAAATCCCAATTCCTCTCTCTCTCTTGTTTGTTTGTCTATGGCGGAGGGTTTTGAACCATACCACATCCCACAACAAAGCAGAAGGGAGAAGTTGAGGGCTGTAACTACTGGTTACGTTGGAGATCTGCTTCATTTATATGATCAATCGTCCTTCATCTCTTTCTGTCCTAATCTCTTGTCCAAGCAACTATTCAACATCACCTGTTTGACGACGTCGGAGATTTTCTTGTGTATAAACTGGAGCCACTGGCTTTATCTCTTTCTTCCCACAATGGAACTTATCCTCTGCAAAAGTATGAGTCTACTAGTTTAGATTGTTGTTGGACTGTGGTGATGACGCTTGGTCCGTACACATGCTATGCTTCGATTTTGAAAGGATCCAAGTTCCCGAAGCCGGCGCAGCAGTTGTTGGATGAAATTTGTGATGTGGGTTTTGGCGTTGATGACAGATCCTCCTTCATTGAAAGTCGAAGGGTTGAACACGAAGGGGAAAGGATGCTGGGGGAGGGGTAGTTGGAGGAAATTCAATGGCTGAATACAAAGGATATAAGTTCTGTAGCTGAGCGATTCAGCCATGGACTGACCAAATAAGCCCATACCGAGCAACTAGATATGACTATGCGAATAAGCCATATAGCTTATACAACACATTAAGCCGCAACCGAACAACCCTTTAGTTTATAAGATAACTCATAAGCTACTTGAAATAGTTTATAAAAACTTTTTTGACACTTTCTTTTTCCAATTTTGACCATGATTAACATTAATTATTAATTATAAAAAATATTAATTATTCATAATTACCAACTTATAGTAATTAAAATCTATTAATTAATTTGTTTTAATTAACATAATATATTATTAGAAATTTGTTTTTAACTATATTATTAGAAATTTATTTTAATTATAGTATGAAATATTTGTAATTGAATATTGTTTCAATGTCTTTTTGGTTATTTTACATGCTTATAAGCTAGCTGGTTTTTGTCAAACATAATTTATTAATCAGTTAGCTTATCATCTAACTTAAAAGTCATCAACTAGTTTGTCAAACATATCCTTAATCATATCAGTGACGGTTTCATAAATTTATTTAATTATATCAATCACGGTTTCGTAAATTGATGTATGTCATGTACTTACTCACGATTGAAATATAGTTAAAAAATTATACTTCTAAATATTATTTTATATATTTAATCAAGATTATTTTTCATAATAAGTAGTTCACAAGTCCCTCTGAAACAAAATGCACTAAATATCAATTGCTTTTATTTTTTAAGAATGAAAAGTTTTACTGTAACAGAGATGGCTAAAAATCGTTCTTGGTTCCGGTGTCAAAAACTATTCTTGTAATCGGTCCCGACAAAAAATCCAAGACCCTGCTAAGGTTTGGCAAAACCAGTTAAGAGAAATAGTCTGGGCCGTGTCCGAATCGGTCCCATTTTTTTTAAAACCGTTCTTTTACATATAATTTTTTTGAAATTTTTTAAAGAATACAAAAAATAATTTTAATACACTTTAAAATATGTAATTAGTTTGTTAAAGAGATGAGAAGTAGGAGTTGTTAAAAATCGAAATCGAATACAAGCCAAAATCACGAATTATAGCGAGAATTGTAAACGTTTTTTGCGTTTGTAAGTTGGTATCTTCCCCTGTTCACCATATGACTTATATATCATGTATAGATGGTCAATGGATAAAAAACGGTCATAGGACCGTTCCAACGGCTATAAAAAACAGTAACACTTTTTGAAAAAATCGAGTCGGACCCATAACCGGTCCCAAAATAGGTCCCGTTCCGGGCCATGCCTTGTTTTTTTTATCAAAAGCGCAACCGGTCCTTAACTAGGCGTCCCGAACTGGTCTCAATCAATCCCAGGCCGGTTCAGTCCCGGCCCTGGCCCGCCTATTGCCCATCTCTACTCTAACCATTGTAAATAGAATTAAGGCGACAAGGTTGTAACCCAAACAAGACATGAATGGATATACAAGAAAATACAAAACCTTTGTGATTCTTAATGGTTGTTTTTATCAAATGCATATCTGAACTTAAACACATATTTAGCTCTTGTAAAAACTTTATAAGCTAGAGTGTGGAGAAAACACATTACCTTGCCAAAGATTTGTCAGTTATCACCAGCGGCTGAATAACTGCATTTTTCCTCCTAATTTCTCGTTCTTGACCTTATTCAATACGATAAAAATGCATATATTGGATGTGTTGGGTTTTAAAGTAAACTTGTAACCATTTTAAGTCAACGGTAACCAATCCATAGTTAAAATACCATAACCCATAGTTGACCCTGTTGAATTATCACCAAAAGTAATAAAAGGACCTCTTACTGACACGAAGTCCTTGAGCAGGGAAATATAACCAGTCATATGCCCTGAACATCCACTGTCCAAGTACCATATTTGGGTATGACCTAGTCCCTATAATTTTTAGAGAGATTACTGATAAACTACCCCATAGGATTATGGTTTTCTCAGAATAAGAGGAATAAAATGTGATACTGAGGATCCTGGTAAAGAAGACATTTTTTAAGTTTTGCTAAGAGAAATAAGAGATGTACCTGACATAGATTCTTTAAAGAAGTTGAAGAAGAGATTTATGAACTCTTTTTGTCAGATAGACCAAGTTCGGAAAGATAAACCATAAAACATTTGTTTTTGGAATAGATTTTTCTTATAAGAACATGTGTTGTACAAAGATCTTTCGTGAGGAGAGAAAATTATTTTAAAATTAAGAAAAAAGAGTTTAAAGATAATGTACTTTGTTGACCGGTTCAATCATTTAGAGTTGTTAACAAGATTATCGGATATAGCACTATTAAACGAAGACACATAGATTTTGTTTTTGAGATTTATGTCTATTTGTGGAAGAAAGAGGAAAGTTAAGGAATTTGAAGATTTCAGTTTTTTACTACCAGTTTTTTGCATAAGTGAAACAAAATCTGATTCTTTTGATATAGGATGGAGAAAACCTTCTATAGAAAATAGAGACATACAAAATTCTAAAGAAGAAGACATATCTTTTTTTAGTATAGAAACGTATGGATAGAGAGCCAATAATATTGGTTGCGGAAGTCATATCGGATCTTGTTTATGACATTAAACAAACCGTCTGATACCACTTGTTGGTCCTGGAAGGTGATGACTTACACATGAAGTATTTGTAGAAAGGGGGATGAATACAAACACAACAAATTTTCACTTATTTAAGTTTTTGCTCTATAACTTGTATAAAAACAAAGAATTACATATTCGTTGTAGAAGTTAAGAAGGTAAGATACGTGATCCTAAACAATCTGACTATGACAAAGTTGCTAACTAAAAGAGAAGGGGAGAAAGTTTCTCTTTCAGATCTGATAAACAAAAGATTTTCTTTAGAGGATGACGCCAAATTTACTTCAGAAACTTTCAGAAGGATTGTTCTTTCAAAACGAGTGAATTGCAATATATGCCAAGGGTGGCCTTTTATAGCCATCTTTGCATTTAATGTTATATATCCAACTTTTCTATGTGTCTTCTTCTTTTTGGTTGGTCCATGTATCCTAGTACTCTTCAATTCAACATTTGATTTTGATGTAGACACATTTTAAACTTACTCAATCCTTTTAGTATGTCGAGGGAACAGTAAAGCAAACAAAGTACCACTCACATGGTGCCTTTATACTTGTTTAGGCTAACATAATATACATGTTCTCATACTAAGATTAGGAAGGAAGTGAGTTGGACATCTAAACTTGCTAGCCAAGTTTGTACTTTGCAATCCGGCTTTCCAGTAGTAGTATTATCAGACTACTAGTTGACTCTTTATCTTGTACTGATCTTTTATCGGCTATATGACAAACTAATCACCTTTGGTGACAATATTGACCTCACTTCAACTAGTCTTAGATTTTGCTAAAGGCATTTTTCTTTTTGATCAACACATATAACTAGAAGACTTTTATAAGTAAAAATCCTACCTTTGTCTATATCCAAAAAGTAAGCTACAATTCAGAACCAGGTCATAGACATTATGAAGTTTACTTCAGATATAAATGGATAGGTGTAACACCCCATTCCACATTTTCATATAATCCACTTATTTCATATAACATGAAATAAAATAATTACACACTGGTCCCAAATTATACAAATTGATACATTCAAAAGTAGCTAGAAATTATTCGTTTATATAAAGTACATGACTTGCATATAACAATTTTTCAGATACATGCATACGGTCAGCTTCAAAAACTCCACAGACATAAATCGATAATAATTCCCTTCACATATTCCCCTTTCCTTTACCTTCCACCGGTGCCCCACATGTAATGCACATTTTTTTAACACAAAATGAGGGTTATACCGCAAGGTCTAGTGAGTAGTCCCTTATTTGCAATTACGGGGTGAAAATCACCAAAACACTTTATGGACTTTGAAACGACAATATACAAATATCAATTAATGACATCATACTTATTTTGTCACCACATATAGATGAGACAACCCCATT